GACCAGTAATTTGATCTATTGTAGTATATTCAGTATCCTTAGTTTAGTACATGTCGTATTACTCCATCACATTGATACTCCATTGCTACAGTTGTTATTTAAATATCATCGCAAGAAGTCGATTCTAAATGTATGGTCCCGCTATTTATACCATTCGAAGAGTGAAGTGTACCCCACACGTATCAATAAATTGACACGAAGGAAAATTATTGACAATAATATTGATGATGTGAATATAGAATTATTGTCAACACCGATTTATTGACGTCAATATAGAATGTATTGAAAATACGGTTATTGTCAATGTCAATAAAAGCAAAAGTGTAGGGTCCACTTAAGAGCACCCTCCACGGCGCGCCCTTTTGTCTGTCAAAACTGGATTGCTTAGCAACCAAATTAGACAATGATACCGATAATGATCATGCATCAGAACACTAGTTTTAACAACTAGGGAACAACGAATAACAGATTAGGAATCACATAGAGGAGGACTAACTAACTCATTTCTTCCTTATTTCAATATCATCCTCGGTCCAGGCAACCCGAGGACTTCTCACTATTAACAAGGCATAAAAAGTAACAAGGATTAAATTGTTTTCCTTCGTAGTAACGCACCACGTAAAGGTGATCTACTCACGTTATAGGGCAGCTTAAGGCTTAAATGTATCGAAGGCCTAAGCATGATAAATATAATGTCAATAAAACAAAGTAGAATCACCATTCATTATCACCGTAGTCATAGACCATATTCAAATAAGTATAAGTCCTTGCATAACCAATGTCGCTGGCCATTTATTGTTAGGTAATGTGCTACGAATATTAATCAGTATCACATGGACACGTCATTCAGACGTGTTTATCAGCAAATTGAAATCCAAACAAACGATACTAGCCGCAAGCCTTTATTGTGTTTAAGTAAAGAACATTGTTCATGTATAGTTTTAAGAATAATATTACTTACTAATTAGCATGTCTACTTTTTATGAGATCGACCGAAAATTATTACTAAAAGTTAGTCTTCTTTCTGCATTTAATAGTTAAGCATTCGAAGCATGTATTATTTTTACATACCTATATTGTATGGCAAGTTTGCCCAGGGTAGTCCAACCCGAAAAATTCAAAAACTTTACTGGGGAACGAATAAGCCGCCACTCTGGTCTTACTTTATAGTTGCGCTTTTACTGACTAAACTAAGGACGGGTAGAAACATGACGGACATCAAATCCTTACTTATATCCTAAGTGGAGATATCGCTAATTATTTACTTAACGCTTCATTGAATGAGACGCTGCTTTTACGGTTTGTAATTGAAGCTATGAGTGCATCATGCGAACAGCTTTGCAAATATTGCAATAGTGCAAATGCACAGCTCTAAATTATACAGAATCATATGTGGGGCATATAATCAAATGTCTTTAGAGTGGGTGAGTACAACGATTAACATTTAAGATACAGTTGTGCGGTGTCAATTGTTGTGACCGCAGAAATGACGAGGTGGGTTTGAACATTGAAGACGATAGACACGTAACTAAAAACATATTTTTATCTATTATTGCCGTGTGTCTGAAAAATATATGTTTTTAAATCCCAGGATTGTTCCCTTGTTTTGTTACAGGAACATTTCGAAAACATGTATGTATATTCTTGATGGCCACCAGTGTGGAAGTGTGTGTGGAAAGTGTATTCATTTATTTTTCACGTGCATTCAAAACTGGAGCAATGAAGAACATTGCGTGCCATCACTCGTACAATGGCGAGTTAAAATAAAGCGTGCCTTGAGTTGATACGTGATAATTGTAAACCAAATCAAAAGACCATCCATACATGTACAATGCACTCCGGAAAAAGAAAACATCCGCTAAATGTTGCTTGAGTTAAGCCTCTATAGTTTTATTTATTTTTTATCCACCCCACAAATACCAAATTCTGTTTCTACGCGATTGTATTTTTTTTTACCTCATGCTTGATTAGTAGAGCATTTTCAATGCCATTGATTTTTTTTTATGTTTTTAAAGAAATTGGTAACAATTTGAGAACACACGATCAAAAATAGAGGCGAACAAAATCGCGTAAAACCAGTATTGACTGTAAAATATGTATAAAATTACTGAAATAAAGACATAATGCTATCAGTCCAAGAAGTTTGCCAACTCATGTTATATTAGAATAGACGCGGACACACCTACATATCTTAATTATTTTAAGAAATGATAGAAATGCATTAAAAGCGCAGTCAATTAGACATACATGTGTCTCTTTTTGTTTAATTAGTTTCAGCAATTGATTGTTTAACTTGCTATTCAAAATACATTTAGTCTGCACAAATTTGATATGAGGGTGGTTAGGAACGTGATAAAACTTCCGGTTAGTGCCCGAGATCAATCCCAAATCTCGGTCTATGTGGTAGCTGACGGAGGTGATACTACATATTTAGATTTTTTTTGCCGAGATGGGCACCACCGTATTTTTGTAACAATTTTAAATGCAACCCAGTTTATTAAAAAAAAAAAGAAGCAGGTTCTTATTTTAGTTCAATATTTAAAGTTTATCGAATTTAAGCGACTTACCTAAGAACAGCCCGCGTTGAGTCGTGACTAATAGAATGAGAAAAGCTGGGTTAGAGGGTTCCTCTAACAAAATACATATTTTTGAAAACTTAGAATTACGTCTTTATAGTAATAGTGGCATTTTAGCCAGGCATGAGAATATTTCTCTTTCTTCTTTCTCTTTTTTTTAAATTCTAGTCACTTTTAACACTCTTGGGTCGTTCGAGACATGTCCGGGGATAAGATTTGAACTCGTGATTTTGTCGTGAGAGTTATGGATGTTAGTCACTACTCCGGGCCGTCCTAGGTAAGTAAATACTTACATACTTAATGGGGGCGACCCCGGCGTAGTGGTTAGAATATATACCTCTCACGCCAAAGTCACGAGTTCAAATCTCACCCCCAGACAAGTCACGAATGACTCAAGAGCGTTAAAATGACTATAATACAAAAAAAATTACACACTTAAAAATTATTCTCGAGCTCGGCAATGCACCGAGCCAACAAAACAATAATACAAATCAAGGAAGATTAATAAATGGTGGTGGATTGAAATATGCAATTTTAATGTTAAAATTTATTTTAATTTTTTAAGTTTTGCTGAAATCTCGATAGAATTTATATGAGATTGCTTACATTTTTACTGAGAATTCAGTTTTACAGTGCAAAGAAATCAGTTTGCTTAAAATGAGATTTTCGGTAAACCGCACAAGCTGTCATTTTTTCCATACCGAGATTAACGGCAACAATTTGTTTGCTCGGCTTTGGGGATCTCGGCAAAAAAAAACGAGATTCGGCAAATAAATCTAAGTGTGTATGTGTTTATTTTCACAAATATGATTGACTTGAACTCACTTGTTAAAAAAACTGCTTACAAGCTGTAAGCAAGATTTGAAATCGGAGAAATGGATCTAATGTTGGCTACGGATCTAAGATTGGACCCATTGCTAAAAATCTACTATTTATCAATTTCATCTAGATGAACGCGTCATTGGGACGGTACTAATGGATATTTGAATTGAAAATTTAGTCGAATGCTGAATTTATGAATGGGCCCAAATTAAGGGCATTTAGGCATTTCCCCTATGTAACATATTTCTTAACTTAGTTGATGTACAATGCAAATATACAGTGCTTCCATGATTTTACGCACCCAAATCTTTAGCAATCATCATCAAGATATGTTTTATTTTGTATTATAGTCACTTTAACAAATTTTAGTTTATTATTTACTTGTCCGGGAATGAGATTTTAACTCGTGACATTTCTGGTTGTTCTTTATTTGTTGTAAAAAACTTTGGTCCTTATTTGTTGTAAAAAACCACTGAGATTCAGATTGTGAGATAGAGTTCCACTCCTTTCAGTTGCTAGCGAAAAGTGGAGTTCTGGAAGACAGCAGTTTGTTCCAGTCGGCACTGATGCACAGCTAAGTCAAAAAACAGTCAATTTGATGATGCTCATTAGATACGCGTCAATCAAGAATGGAACTTCTGCTTGATTGAAAGTTTCAATACATTATCAGTTGTTTATCAGCATCAATGGTGTATTGGGGCGGGGCTTATCGTGTGTGAAAATAGCTTCAGAATAATTGCGTTCCTGAATGGGCTATTGGATCTGCGGTAGAGCTGTCACCTTCTAACTCCCGGATTCAAGCTTCTTGCAGTCATAAGACATGATTTTATCCATAATGCCACTGCCACGCAGTTGAAGTTGGATTGTAAAATACATGCATATATAGAGTATAAAATATTTAAAAAGGGGGCTGATAAAATTAGGAATGCACTGTAGTAAATTACATTTTAGTAAAGATTTACATAATAGAACAGAATTAACACTCTGTACGTAGTTGTTTTTATTGTTATGTTTTTAACCTCTTCTTCAAATTATACCGAAATAAGTTTTTGTTTAGTTTTGTTAAAATTTCAATTCGTTTCAAATTGTACATCAAATGCTTAAGGCTTTAATAAACATACTAAATATAATAAATTAACAAAAACACTGTGGTATTGAACTCTTTTTTCGACTCCAACAACAAGCAAGTTCGGTACTTAAGTATTATCAACGAGTGTCCATTTAAACTGAAACTACGTTATCCAACTAACAACGCAAACAGATTAGTAACATTTTCTGTTAGCCAGTATTGGTACTAAATTTGCGTGATAGCCAGAAGGTCAATATTTGAAATTGGTACATTAATTGCTACTTCCTACTGAAGAAAATGGCATGAAAACGAAAACAAAAAAAAAAATAATGAACCATTACTGAAAATTCCCGCTACGTTCATGCATACATGGCACATACTCCACAAGAAGTAACAAAAAAAAACAAACTGTTTAATAATATGTATAGGTACGTATGATCACTGCGTAGGTATTTATGTGCACACATTATTTTATCTTTCATTCAAACAGTACGGATATAGGTTTATGTGTTGATAAATGAAAGTAAACTTACAGAGCTTCAAGTGTCTGCCTCCGACGAACATTTTCTCTAAATTTGTTCCAGGTCACTGATGATCGTTGATCGTTATCGAATTGGTATCGATTTTGTATTTGCACTGCAAAAAATCTAGTTTTATAAAAGCAATCTGAATATTGCAACCTTTCACGATTAGGTAATCTGGTCACCATATGTCAGTTGGCAAAATTCACCTTTCTCCGAATGGGGACGTTGATAATCTTCCGCTTCGATGTTCCAAAAAAAAAAAATAACAAAAACTGCTGAAATGCACTTCACCAAAAGTAGTCAAGCAAGGTTTCTCCTAAAATCCCAAAGGTGTTACTGCGTGCACCACTATGAAGACGGTTTTGTTTTGAGTACCATTATTGTTAAGAAAATTGCACTTATGCTCTTAAACACGACACCTGAAATCCCGGTCACTGTAATGAAGCTAAACAAAACCAAGGTGGAGCCAAGAAATAATCCGTAACGGTCGAGCACACCAAACGGAACAACCGCACTATCCGACCAACTTGCGAAAACTAACCGGTGGTCAGCACTGTTAACGTTTGCGGCTTTGAGAGGATTTCAATGTTCAAACGAAAAAAAACGGCTGCCCGGAAAGCTGAGCTGCACATGCTTCTGAAGTCACTCACACGACCATGATCGGAGAATGAGTCGGGAAATCAGTGGTCATGATCGTACATTGGCTCAACGGATAAGTTGAATAGACATTGATGCACATTATTGTACGTGCAGTGGATACTCACTAGGTTTAACGATTTAAACTGTTTGATCTAAGCCAGTGCATGTCTGAATTATCAATCATTGTAACCAAATAGATTGATAATGCATCTTTTGCGAAACGCGGAACAGAAAATGAAAAATTTTGTTATGATCATAACAATGATGGATAAATGAACCGTTGAGAGTCAAAGAGGTAAGATTCGATCTTAAGTACGTCACCATATTAACAATATAGTTAACACTTCGATTTTCTATATATCACGCAGTAGACAGAAACTTTTTGTTCGACACACCACCTAACGTCACCAAAATGCATTTGGTTGCAGTCGAGAGTTGAGTGAGTTGCAATTATTACACATGAAAAATATAATTTAACTACATTAATTACAATTAACAAATCCAAGTTTATGCCGGCCACCGCGGCGCTGTAATCGTAGCGGTGATGAACTTGAGAACTGCATATATTTTCAAGTTTGTGATAAGAAACCTATGTTTTACGTGTTATTGTAATTGCTTTATTCAATAACAGAAAGCAAATATGAACAGAAAAGTAGCGCTGGTAAGAATGGTAAGTAAATCCTTTTTTTTAATGCAAAATCAATGAGATTTCTTCAAAATGAAAAATAGGTTGCTCCCAGCAAAACATCAACAAATAATGTAAACAATGTTCTTACAGTATTCAAACTGAGAATGCAATACTGAAGGATCATCGCATCGGAAATTGAATTAAATCAATTAATTTTGCTGTTTGAGGTGAGTTGTTAGAACAATTTTACATATTGAAGCAATCAAAACAATATATTGTTCCATCTGCAAGAACATCATCTTTCTTATAGCTGAATCCGCTGCGAAACCATTAGGAGGTTATCACGCCTGGTTTGGTAGATTCAGACGAGCGGGACAACAAAGGCAGTACCAAAAGTGCCTGTGTCGCAGACGGCATTGGATACCCGGAAAAAATAACCATACAATTACCATAAAATATTATACATTCACAACAAATCTATTTCGAACAATCGGTCCTATTGTATGTATATCATACAAGTAAATTTAAAATATTGTTATTACAATAGATGTACGATACGTACCATATAGTATGAATTTTGAACAATAGAAAAACAATAAAATTAATGATAAATGGCTCAAGTTTGTTCCAGAAAAAGAGATTTTTTTATGGTTAAGATACATAACAACCCCCTTGTCCTATTGTAGATTATCCAATTTACCATAGATCCTATTGTGGAAACAATAAATCCTATGGTTATTTTATCGTTGTGGACAATACGATTTATTGTAAATTCAATAAATTATATTGTATGGTTACAATACATTTCATTGTACCTCTGTGGTTCTTTTTTTTTACGGGTAGTTTGCCTGATCACCATGCATATAACCGAGCGGAAACTCTTTCTTCTCTGGCACAAGTAGAATCTCTCTGGTAAGTAGAATTAGATATTTAAGTGGTAAATTATTGAAATAGCATTGAAATAAAATAAAAATCGTAGAACAAACATGATAAAACAACGAAATTCCAGCATGCTTCAATCGATGGTTGCAAATCATATCCGCCAAATCGTATACCAGCATCGGATGCCCTTGATTTTGTTGGTCACGTCTCCATATCAACATTAATCGATGTGGTATGGCTGTTAACATAACCATGTTCATAACCTCATCATGTTTTTTTCAATTTTATTTGAAAATTAGTAATTTTTATTTTGGGATCGACACATATCACAATAGTTTTTTTAGGTTTTGAACAAGATTCATTCATTTTAATAGCATATTTACACGAACTAGCACTGTAATTTAACAAATTTTCATAAAAATAATGAAATTTCCAAGGGCTGTCACTAGCTGATCACCGTCGGATAGTGTTTATTCCTGTCACCAGGCGCGCATTAGTTTAAGTTGGGAAAAAGTTGAGCACATTGCATAGGCCTGTAAATACCTACACTGAAGCAAATAAACTTAAGATTTTCATAAGCTTGACTTATGAATGATTTTGGTAAAACGTACCTTTTTTTTAACCATTTAATGTTCCCAAGCGTTTGTAAGTGCTAGTGTCTTTGTTCGAGTTTTTTTTTTAGAATATGGTTTAGTTCCGTTAAAGTGTAGAAAAATAATGACAGGTAATGTTCGTGAGTGTTGTGCAGTTTTCTCCGTTGTCAAACTCCCTAGTAGGCAGAGGTAGGACAGCTTACTGTAGAACGCAACAATCCACCCCACCGAAAATTGCAAAAACCCGCCACCAGATGGACAAACAACTGCCTGTTGGGAGGCCATGGGGGGTGGCGATAGAGATGGCCGACAGCCTGGAGCAGCGACCCAATGACTCACTCAACTTTTAAATTAATAGGCACTGATCGTTAGACCACTAGCGAAAACGGTTGATCAAGCAAGCAAGCTAACTAAATTTACTTGGAATAGCGAACACTGGTGAAAATATAAAGTAATAGTGGAAACAGTGGAAAAGTGTGAGGAGAGAGTCAAGGACAACAGGTAAACCGCAATAATTACCATTTTGGTTAAAATGGTCCTAATGCCAAATATATTTGACCATTAGGACCCCGCTGTATTTAGTACAGATCACCTGTAGGCAGTGAAGTTCCGGTAGACGTACCGGAAGGTTACACCGTCACTGCCTGCCGGCCCGAGTTCGCCACCAATTCATAGGCCCAGGAAGTGTAACCTGGTGCTCATCATCGCCACTCCGTACATCAAGCTCGCGAAGGAGGTACACGACGAGGAAATGGAGAGGAAGCGGACGTCGACCGAGGACAAGCGGTCGACGATCGAAGACACGTGGTGGAGGTGTTGCGAGGGGCTCCGACGAAGAAAACAGGTCAGATAGATTGTTAGAAAGTGGGAGAATAAGGGAGTAAAGAGGGAGAATAAAAGTTGTCAGGAAAGTGAAATAAATCTTTAATCTTGAGTAGTGAAGTGCTTGTGGAGTTTTTTTCTGTGTGTCACGTGCGATCATTCCCTGCCCCGCGTAATTGCAATCGGTAAGCGTGCCGACCCTGAGGCCATTCACACTTAGATTTTTTCGCCAAGATGGGCACCACCGAGCAGCTCGGCATTTTATTTTGCTGGATCTCAGTGACAAACTTGCCGAGATTCAGCTAATAAACGGGAATTTTGCCGAGATCTCAGCTAACAAACATATTTTTTGCTGAATTTCCAGCAAAATAAAATGCCGAGCTGCTCGGTGGTGCACATCTCGGCAAAAAAAATCTAAGTGTGTTGGAGTCAGGGAGTCTCGGAAGTGCTCCTGACTGAGGTGGCTGACACTTACACGTTGTAAAATGAGTGGTCAACACACAGATCTCGTAATCTCAACGTCCATGGTTCGGTTTCAGTCTGCTCCGTTTTGTTATTTTTTTTTTGTCAATATTATTTTTCATAAGACAAATCAATGAAATTCATATCAAATACTTGTGGCTAATATTCATAAATGATTCTTATGGAATTCTTAAGTTCTTTTGCCTCAGTGTTTGGGACCACGGAAATAATTGTTTAAACAAGTTTTGATTTAAATCTCTATTGTAGCTTTGAAGCATGCCTCGTAATGTTCACAGAATACCTTAATTGCCTTTTCTGATGCAAAGGAAAGTTTGTGGCCGAAAATAGTTTCTTCGAAAAAAAAGGTGAACTATATTGTTAACACAGGATATTTGATAAATATTTAAAAACCAAGAAGGTTGGGTTAATGTCCCTAAACGTCCCTAACGGAAGTGATTCGTGTGTACATTCATTGGATTGGTAGTTTTGCCATCCAATGAGAAAAACAATGATTAGAATCGGTCGATGTATTATAGTTACAACTGAAATCTGGAGAAAAAAAACCATTAGCGAAAATCGATTTTACTCTGGGTCTATACCTATGTATAAAGTTGGAAGTAGTGCGTATTATAGCAGTACTTCCGACACTCGGTTTTTCCAATTTTCAGCTGTAACGATAATATTCTGCGATTATATATTGAACCTTTTCAAAGGTTGCGCGTTAAATTCAAAGCAATAACCACTTCATTTGAGCAGTTAAAATTACGTTTACTACCACTCGAGTTTCGAAATGAAACAATATTTTGAGATTTTTTTCGTCTAAAACCACGAGAAAAAACCGGCGTAGTGGTTAGCATCCATACCACTCACGCCAAAGTCACGAGTTCAAATCTCACCCCCAGACAAGTCACGAATGACCCAAGAGAGTTAAAATGACTATAATAAAAAAAAACAAAAAAAAAACACGAGAACAGCAGTCAAAATTTGTGCGTTTCATAGAAAAATAGTATTGCGCTTTTTTTTATTAAATTATAATATGGCAGCCGTCATACCCAACAAACAATTTGAGCTGAGTAATAGCTGAACAAGCCATTTTTTATTTGAAGAAGCTTATTTTTGTCTCAATAAGCTCTTATACAACTGTCAATGTTTGTTGGGTAACGCAATAAACAAAATTTTGTTATGTAAAATAAAACAGCAAAAAAGGATATCTTCCATATAATTCCACTTAATTAATTTTGGTATCTATGACAGATACGTGTTTCGACTACAATGTGCAGTCTTCATCAATGTCATTCCCACTAAAGACTTATCGAAATCTAACCTCCTTAAAAAATGTCAAGTTCACAGGTATAAGAAGCAACATGAATGATGATAACCATTTTTGCTGTTTTATTTAAGCATTTCGCTAACAACCCAATTTCATTACTTCATTATGATGGCTTTGCACTTTAGGAATTTTTCATTATTAGAGAGTTGTATAGATTTTTCTCC